TTTTTTTTTTTTTTTTTTTTTTTTTTTAATCACTGGGAGATACAACAGTGGGATGTTCCTCCAGGCATGGATGTGCTGAATGAGGCCATTGGTACCCTCACCGCCCGGGGGGACCAGAACACCTGGGTCCCTGCCATGCTTAGTGTATCTGACTCTCTCATGACTGCACATCCCATTCAGGTACCAGAAAAGGATGAAGTTGGGGACTGGGGAGGGTGAGCAGGGATACCAAGGGAGCCATTGGTTGGTGCTGGAAGAGAGTGGGTCCAGCCAGTCCTTGGCCCTCTAGTGACTAGGTGTGATGTGGGCAGGCAGAAGCCAGTGCAGAAGAGGAGCCACTGTGGCAGTGCCCTGTCCGCCTTGTGACCTTTATTGGTGTTGGCCGTGACCCACACACCTTTGGCCTCATTGCTGACCTTGGCCGTCAGAGCTTCCAGTGTGCGGCCTTCTGGTGCCAGCCCCATGCTGGAGGCCTCTCTGAAGCTGTGCAGGCTGCCTGTATGGTGAGTTAAGGGTGGGGAATAAGTGGATGGGAAGGGTGTATTGCTTTGCTGCTGCTCTGTTCTAGGGACTGAGCCTCAAGATCAGCAGCTTTTTTCCAGATACAGTGGTTATGTAGTTATATGATCTTTTTTATCCGTAAGGAGAGAGAGAGGCCTCGGTGTCTTCACATAAACATTCCCCTAACGATTGTCTATCTAGCAGCACCTGACCTGCTATAGTCTTGTTCCCTTTTAATCCAATATGAGTTGATGAAGAAAAGGCAGGTTATAGAAATTAATGTATCAGTCACACAGGAATATACTAAGGACTCTAGCTTATAATTTGATTAAAGGCAAAAATTTAAATGCTACTGGTGCCCAAAGTGTTTACAGTGATATAGGAGGTATCTTAAACTGTCCAAAGCAGTCATGCAATGAACTTAATTCCCATTGCATAGCCAAAATGAACAGCATTGATAACATTTCTGAAGCTTCTAAACATGAGGGCGACTACAGTGCCAGAGTGTTATTACCTCTCTTGCTTTAAGGTAAATTCATTGTGCAACTTTTGTTTTGGGATACATATCTATAGAGAGATACTATAAGGAAGTTTTATTTCTTAGGAAGTGCATTGAATAATTATTTCTTTTTAGTGTAATATATAGGGGTGGGGTATGCAAAAGAAATGTGTATTTTTTTCTAGTTGCCTATCTTCTGAGATAAAATAAGCACAGTCCTTCAGTGGATCTAGTAATTTAGTTAGGTAGTATAGCTTAGAATTTAAGTTTGCTATAGATTGTGCGTGTGTGCTAAAAGTTCCACAGTTCACAATTTCAGTATTAACCCATGTTGAAAAAGCTGTTACTAGTCAACAGATTTTAATGATGCGCAACATATAACATAAACATTAATTAGTCCTTAATAGTTATAAAGCCAAATGTATCGCATACAGATTTTTCTTCATTTTTTATAGCAGATTATATTAAAACAACTTAAATTGCAGGTACTCTGGCCTTCATTCTGTTTTTAGTCAGTTTTGGTTATATGACAATATTTAAAGGGCAGGACATTTTATATAGTAATTGTTATACCTGCTTTTCTTAGAGTATGAGGATCCCTGACAAGGGTTCCCACATACATTTCATGCATGTAGAGTTGTGTAGGGGCTGTGATCTGTAGGACTGGCATTGTCTTTCTTGTTTGTCTCATTAGGCTTTCTTGGCATCCATGGTCATTTGAATGTGTGATGCTTAAGCTCCATTAGTTCAGTTCACTTAACTCAGTCAACCAATGTGAGTGCATACTACTTGGGCCAAACTTGTCCCTGGGAATTCAGGAGTATAAAAGAGCCTTTTCCTTTATAGAGCACTTAGGATAGAGCAGAAACACCAGATGTACACCACAGGATGATGGAAGAGATGGGGTCAGAAAGGCTACCTGTAAGAAGTGATAGAAAACAGAGAGGCTCCAAGAGGAAGTTAGCCAGGTGAAGAGGAGAAGGGTAGGTATTCAAGCACAGTTGTGAGGGTGAGAGAGATGTTAATGGATTAGAGTATCTGAAAGAACCTAGTATATGTGGTGTGCAAGGAAGATGTAATAAGAAGAGGGCAGAAAGAATGGCATAAACCTGGTCGTGGAGAATCTTATAGGTCAGAGTGATAAGTTTACTTTGTCCTGAGACACTAGTAACCATTGAAGGATTTTGAGCAGGACAGTGAAGTCAGGTTTGTGGATTAGGACAACTGCTTATGCTATGGTATGGGTGAAAGATTTCAAGGACACAAGTGAGGAGGCAGGAAAGTCATTTAGGACGCTCTTTGAGTAGTTCAAAGGAGATAGGATTGAGGCAGTTGTATTGCCTGCTGAATCTGCTTTGCCAGGGAACTAGTCCACACATCCCAGTGAGAGGTGAAGCAGAGGCAGTATAGTGGGGAGTGAGGTTTAGAGTATAAGCTTTGCAGTCAGACAGAACTAGGTTTGAATGGCAGGTACACTTTTCTGGGTGTGACCTTGGGCAAGTCATTTATTCTCTCTCAATCTCAATAACCTCATTTGCAAACTGGGGGTAATAAGGCCACATGACTAACTGCAGTAAGTTAGATTATCGTACAAAGGACTTAGGATGTCTAGCCTTCAATTGCTCAGTGAATTCAAAGTTCTTTGTTTTGTGTTGAGCTGTCTGGGAATGCTGTAGGGTCTGCTGATGTACTAGCTCTCAGCCTTGTATCAGACAGAAGCCTTAGTCAGCTTTCTGCCCTACAGAAACTTTCAGAGAATCCAGGGGCAGAGCATAGCTGGATCCTCATGTTTCCCTTCTCCCTAGGTACAGTACCAGAAGTGTCTTGTGGCCTCTGCAGCTCGAGGCAAGACCTGGGGTGCCCAGGCCCGCCGTGCTCGCTTGCGGCTGAAGCGGACCAGCTCCATGGACTCCCCAGGAGGTCCCCTGCCTCTCCCTCTACTCAAAGGAGGTGTTGGGGGTGCAGGAGCAGCCCCTCGAAAGCGGAGTGTCTTCTCTTTTTTCGATGCCTTTCGGCTGAAACCCTCTCTCCATATGCCCTAAACTGATATTAGAGGGCTGGAGAAGGAGGCTCTGGATTCCACACCCAAGTCTGTACCCCTCCACTCCCCAGGGGCCTGCAGCCTCTTACCTATCTTCCTGCCCCCATCCTCATTTACCCTCTATTTCCCAATTTATTATTTATATTGATGACTGAGAGGACCTGCACTACAATGTAGGCCCTTGGCTCCCCTTTTCTTTCCTTGGGTCCTTGTGTTCTTTGCCCCTGTCCTGCCCTGGGCAGTTGGCTCTACCTCAGCAACACTTTATAGCAAAATCAGTGCAAATAAAAATCCCTCAGCGACCTCACTAGCTGTGAATGTATTGGACCTGGGACCGGGCTGGGGGCCAACAACCTGTGTGAAGTGCGTGTTTGATGTTGGTGGCTGCCGGTAGTCACATGAGGGTATGGACGTGAGAGTCTAACCTCATTCAACAATTTCTAAGGTCTCTGTGTGAGGTGTTAAACTAAGGAAATTATTGGTCAGGGTCCCACCTTGAGACTCCTATTAGAGAGATGAACAGGGTCAAACAATATAGAAGATGTGTAGGCCAACTAGTAAGTCTCAAAGCGTTGTTGGAGCTTAGGTGACCCCTAAACGTGGTCTAAAACATTACAGAAGTCTTGAAGAGCTGACATCTATTGAAGGAAGATGAGAACTAGTCAGTAGTGGACAGAGGTGAGGCTCCCAGAAGTCGGGGTTTGCTAAATCACAGGGCACACGTGGCAGGAGCTTTCTGGCTTGAACTTGCACCTTAGAACAAGTGGGAGAGATTGGACTCAAGACTAGGGCTCTAGGAGCGCCGGCCCCTTGGAAAAACATACTCGTTTGGTGCCTTGTGACCAGGACCCTGTGGTTCTTTAGCTGAAGGAGATAATCTAGTCACACAGGTAGGTGGTGCCCAGTTCTTCAGACAGCAGTTGAGAAGCACTGCTCCACTTCAAGGGCCCGGAGCCACCCGCCAGGCCAGTAGAGCAGAGCGGCCGCCCCGGAAGTGACGCGCTGCCCCGCTGGCGGTGCGGAAGTGGAGATGGCGGAGCTGTACGTGAAACCGGGTGAGAGCTCGGCGGGCGGGTTGGGGGCACATCATTTGTCTCCCCGAACCCCAGTACAACCTTTGCCAGAGTCCCAGTCTCGCTTCACATTTCCCGTCGTCTCTGTAGGCAACAAAGAGCGCGGCTGGAACGACCCACCGCAGTTCTCTTACGGGCTGCAAACCCAGACTGGCGGACCCAAGCGCGCTCCGCTCACTAAGAGGGTCGCCGCCCCCCAGGATGGATCCCCTAGAGGTGCGTGGGGTCCCTACGCGCTGAGAACCGCAGAGAATGGGCGGTTCCAGGGTTAAGCCTGTCCCCAGCACTCAGAGGCCTGTTTTCCTCCTCCAGGACCCCAGGAAGAGGGTCAGGGAAGGGGCTTTTCCGAGTTTCCCTTCGGCTTCGAGTTTTGATTTTTAAAAATACCCCACATTTTCATCCTAGGTAATCTCAGCGAGACTATTCTCAAATTATTTTCGTTACTTTGAAATTTTCTTTTTTCCAACCTAGACCTCTTCCCAGAACCCCATCCATATCTACTTTGTCTTCACTTGGATATATAATATGCACTTCGTACTTTACATGTCATTCGTACTATCAGTATTTTTACTAAGCACTTACTAAGAGGGCAAACTAAACAGTGAGAAAGACAAGTGGCCTCTATTTTCACGAAGTCTGTACTGTAGCATTGAAGACAGATGAATTGTAAGGGCTTGTAGAGAAATAAAACAGGGTGATGTTACTAGGTACCTTGTTAGCTGAGGGGCTGACTTTTGAGCTCAGCCATACAAAAAATCCCGGCACTCTTGAGAAGGCTGAGGCAGGAGGATCGCACATTTGAACCTGGCCTGCGTAACTGGACGACTCTAAAAACCTGTCACAATAAAAATTTTAAAAGGGCTTGGGATGGCCAGCTGTGGTGGCACACACCTGTTAAGTAAGCCCAGCACTAGGGGAGGCTGAGGGAGGATCACTGCCTGGGCTACATAGTTCAAGGACAGCCTGAACTACATAGCAAGACCTTGTCTCAAAATAAAAGGGCTGAGGATCTATGTAGTTTTCCCAGGATACAGAGTTTGTGTTTTAATTTATTTAAAGCTGGAAGGCCCTGAAAGGTTAAAGTAAGGCAACCAGTAAGTGAGCTGTGGTCCTCCCAAAGGGGCTCAGGTTTCGTTCTTTCAGTATCCCTCCATCCTTTTCCACTACAGAGCAATGATACAGGTTAGTGATGGCAAACCTATGGCCTATGTGCTGAAGTGGGCTGTTTGTATCACTGAACACTCTAAGAGGTTTGCCATGACTGATATAGGGCATAGTTTTTAACCTCAGCACTGTTATATAGTTCTAGATTATTCATTTGGGGACTGTCTTTGCACTGTAGATTCTTCAGCAGAAACCCTAACTAGACTCAGTAGATGGTAGTAGCACCCATCCAGATGTGGCCGGACAGCCCCCAAAATCTCCCCAGTTTACCGCTGACTGATTTATAGTCTTTGAAGAATCACTGTGGGGCTAGGTTGTAACTCAGTAGAGCCCTTGCTTAGTATGTGTGAGGCCATATGTTTCACACTGGGGAAAAATCACTGTGCTGTACAGAAGAAGACTTTTTAGAAGTGGAAAGATAAATCTAGAAACTTATGTTAGTACAGGCAAGATTTAATGATTCAACAAGGATAACAGTCAGGTGGTGTAGGAATTGAGTGATGGCTACGTCATGGAGAAAGGAATGATAGAGAACAAATCAAATTTTCAGTTTTTTCTGGTAAGAGACTGGGGGACAAAGGATTTTTTTTTTTAGGGAGGGAAAACAGGCTTTTGGTTTGGAGCATGTTTAGTTTGGGTTGCTAATTTTGTCAGAAGTCTAGTCTAGAGTTAGAGAAATAGTTGTACTCTTAGGGATATTTGATGTCACAGGCTTGAATTAGACTACATAAAGTGTGGATAGGGGCCTAAACATCCAAGACAAGGTAGCATCAGATCTCGGTTAGAACTGGTGGTGGGAAGATGAGAGTTCCTGTTTGATGACCTATATTTTCTCAGCGAAACATGAACCAGTGTCAGATGTAGAAAGAGTATAGGAAGGAAGAAAAAAAGATGAAAAAATAGGGCTTTCCAGCATTTCAAGGTTGTGGAGAGAAGGAATCAGCAAAGAATACTGAGAAATAGCCAAAGAAGAATATGAAAGAGTAAAAATGACTCAACAGTGAAGAATGCTGCCGGGAGGTCAAGCAAGACTAAGGGACCACCAAATTTGGCGAGCATTGCAATCACAGGTGACCTCAACAATAGCAGTCTCTGTGGATTTGGTGAAAACAAACTCAGCTGGAATGGGCTGAAGAGACTATGAAAATACAGTGTAATTATGGACAGTTTATTCAAGAAATTCTGTTAGTAGAGTATGTAACTGGAATAATGTGAAATAAGGGAGGGCTGGTGAAATAAGGGTGGTACTGTATATACTAGGTACTGTATATACTACAGCACATCTATATGCTGATGAGTAATTTAGTAGAGAACCAGAACTGATGATGCAGGAGAAAAGGGCTAATTGCAGGAGGGAGGCCTAAAGAAGACATGAGAGGCTGAGTTGTAAAATACAGCCGGTGAGATAGCTTTTGATAAGAGGAGGAATCTTTCATGTATAATGAGAGGAAGAAAGCAGCCACAGATGTAGTTAGGAGTTCCTGTTTGATGACCTACGTTTTCTCAGTGAAACATGAGGCAGTGTCATACATGAAAGACAGCAGAGAAAGGAAAAGAAGATGAGAAAATAGTTGTTATGAAGAGTGGGAAAATGAGGCAGTGTTGGACACCTTTCAAAAAACTGTAGCCATAGAAAGTGTTAAATTACAAAGTGTTAACAGCATGGTTGTTTTTCCTCGCAAGTGTAAGCACTGGTTTAACTACTAGAATGGCTTAAAAAGAGGGGAGAGGGGGAAAGGAAAAGGAAATAGTGTTTATAAGGGAGCCGTTGTGATGCATGCTTGTAATCCCAGCACTCAAGAGGTTGTGGCAGGACAATCACAGCAAGTCTGAAGCCAGACTGAGGTACACAGTTCTAGGCCAGCCTGAACTACAGAACAATACCCTGTCTCAAAAAGAGAGAAAGTATAAGGGAGTGATTTTTTAATTCCCCACAAAATTTGAACAGTTGAGATGGAAGGAAGGGGTGATCAGATTTTAGAGGTCAGTGCAGTACAGTGAGCAAAACAAAGGCAAAAAGGTGGGGCAAAGTGATCATAGAGATACAGTGGTCAGATAACCCAGAGGCCAAATTGTTACATGCATTAATTATCCTTGTAGATGATGTCTCAAAGTAAGTTTTGGACTTTCCTCCTCTAGCCTTTCTTAAGTCACTGAAATCAGAAACCATGTCATCTTGACTCCTCCCTCACCCCCAACCACCACGTCCTGTTGGCACCTCCTACTCAAAATCTCAGACAACTCCATTTCCCCTCCTTTTTCCCCTTAGTCCATGCCATAATTCTTTCCATTAACCAACTGCTGTGCCTGCCTCCATTATTATCTGTTCTTGTCAGTTTTTCACAGAGCATCCACCTTAAAAAGTCTGGTCATATTACTCCTTGCTTTTATAAACCTGTGGTAGCTTCTCAGGTCTGTTTGGCTAGGACCAAACAACTCAGGATCTGGATCCTGTGCTTAATCTCTCCAGTAAAAGCTCGTATTACTTTCTTCAGTGCTAATAATTTCCAGCCCCACCAGCCTTGTTTCTTCTCTTGAACAAGACTGTTCATGCCTATTGAGCATTGCCCTTACCTATACACACTACTTGTTCTTTCAACTCATCATAGCTGCATTTATTGTATCCCTTAGTTCTCAATAAAAACTGCTAACTTTTGAGTACTTTTTGCTACACACTAATCCAGAAGCTGTACCTATCTATATTCATAATTGTTATCTTAATCCTACAAAGTGTCATATAACTACATATAATACCCCCATTTTAGAGGAACACAAGTTTAGAGGTTGTAAGTAACTTGTTGGTGATCACAGATCACTTGAGCTGAACTAAACTTAGAAGGCTTTCCTTGAACAGTTTAGGTAGGTCCCCCTATTCCTCTTTATCACATAATCTCTTTGTAGCACATAATTTGGTAATTTTGTGTTTTTCTCCTTTCCCTCTAGAATTTTAAGTTCTTGAGGTCAGGAACCAAGTCTGTCTGGTTTATTTTTTTATTTTTGGTACCTGGCAAATTGTGTATAATAGAGACTATATACTATACACTACTTTTTCTTTTGCAGTACTTGGTATATGTGCTGAAGTGAGCACTCTTTTGCAGTACTTGGGATTGAACCCAAGGCCTTCACACTAAGCTATATCCCAGCCCCTTTTATTTTTAATTTGTGACTGGGTCTTGGTAATCATTGAGTTAGTTGCCCATGCTGGGCTTAAATTTGTGAGCCTTCTATCATAGTCTCCTAAAATACTGGGACTATAAGCATGTGGTGCCACACCTGGCTCCCACCCCACCCCACTGCAGTACTAGGGTTTGAACCCAGGACCTCTTGTATGCCAGACAAGTACTCTACCCTTTAGCTACATTCCCAGGCTCTTTGGCACGGAGTGGGGGGACGGACGGGGGGGGACTTGCGAAGTTGCCCAGGCTCTCCTAGAACTTGTGGAAGATTTCCCTGCCTTAGCCTTCTAAATAGTTGGAATTATACGTCTGTATCACCATACACAGCTTTTATACACATTTTTAATAAAGTGAGTTGTCCCATAGTCTTGCTTAGAATAGGTGAGTTTAGAATTATTTATCTGTTTAAGCCATATTGCTTGATTCTGCTTTACCTTTTCAGTTACTACCTCAGAGACTTCTCCTGGGCCCCCTCCAATGGGGCCTCCACCTCCTTCAGGTAAGGCTCCCAGCCTCCTACCTGTGGGGAGCTCTCCTGCCTCCAGTGTGGAACCCACGGGTTTCCCAGTCATTGAGTCTGAGGCTTTGATAGAAGATGTGCTGAGACCTTTGGAACAAGCATTGGAGGATTGCCGTGGTCATACAAGGGTAAGCCCTGGCATTCCAGGGGTGGAAAGGAATCTTATCCACAGCCACTTGCAGCTACTGCTCCTGAAGGGAGAACTTTTGGGTGATGGCTCTTAATTTTTTGTTATGGGCCCCTTAAGAATCTAAGGCTTTCCCAAGAAAGTGAACGAAGAATTTCAAGAGGGTTCACAGAACTTGTCGGTCAGTCATAGAGGCTTACGAGTTTAAGAGTTGAACTCAACTACCATAAGTAAAAATAGCAGCTTGATTTCTGTTACCTCCAGGTCATTCAGAGCACACACTGATACTTTTGTGTTCAGAGGATTTATACTGAACTAAGTGAGGGAGAGAGTAACCTTCTACCTAGTGTTTTTCTAAGCTCTCTGGAGGCAAGGAATCAAGGAAAGGGGAAGTAGCATGGTAATTTTACCTTTTTGATTCTTAAGTTTGCTTGTTTGCAAAGTAGCACTATGAGCTTCTAAGAAGTCCCTAAGATTTAAAAATTCTAGCCATATCTGCACTTTTTCTTGGGAGGAGATCCAGAAACTTCATCAGGTTCTTTCTCAGTGGGGGTCTCTAACCTTTGTGTAAACAATCAGAGCTCTAGGAACTAAGCATAGAGATCCAGGCCAGAGAAAGCAGGTGCTTCTTGAGAGGTGCTGACTTTCCCTCTCCTTGCTGGGCTCCCTGCAGCACTTGAGTGAAGCGGGCTCTGTCTCTCAGAAGCAGGTATGTGATGACATTGGCCGACGCCTGGCATTGCTTCAGGAACAGTGGGCAGGAGGAAAGTTGTCAACTCCTGTAAAGAAGAGGATGGCACTACTGGTGCAAGGTAGGGATGGGTTTCTTAATATATTGGAAGTCCCTTGCTGCAACTCTGACTTTTGGGGAGGAGAGCATGGAAGCTACTACCTCTTTTATCCCAGTCTGCTTGCTCAAGTTCTCTCTCCTCAGAGCTTTCAAGCCATCAGTGGGATGCAGCAGATGACATCCACCGCTCACTCATGGTTGACCATGTGACTGAGGTCAGTCAGTGGATGGTGGGAGTTAAAAGATTAATTGCAGAAAAAAGGAGTCAGTCTTCCAAGAAAGAAACCAATGAAGAGAAGTCTGAAGTGGCAGTTGATAACCAGACCATACCAGGCTTTCAAGAGGCTCCATAAGCCTGGAGGTTCCCCGGACTCACACAATCTGCTAGGCCTTGGTGTGGGAAGTCTTCTCTCACTTGGCTACCTTTTAGCACCAGAGACTGTTCCATTGGGCCTCATCTACAGGGAGGTCACTTGTTACTTATAATGTACACATTTTAATAAAAATCATCTCAATGGTGGACACTGGGGAGCAAATAAGAGCCTTTCCTATGCCAAACTGGTTCCTTCTGATGTTAACTCTCCCATACCCTACAAATTTCTATTCTCCCTTCTCCATTCATTGTGAAGCCTTGCTGGGCCTGGCCAAATTGCTGCCTGCAACTTCCCAAAATTAAACAGGAGCACATTTGTTGCATTGTGGAACATCCCTGGTCTTGGATGGTTTCTTCTCAGCACAAGAACAGATTCAAATAGCACAGGGAGATTTCCCTCAAGAAAAGGAGACTTCAGGGCTGGGGATTTAGCTCAGTCATGCTGCGCTGCCTTGCAAGCACAAGGTCCCGAGTTTGGCCCCTGGTACCGCCAAAAAAAAAAGTAGACTCCTTTTGATTTTTGTTTTGTCTTTGGAGACAGGGTCTCATTATGTAATTCAGGTTGGCCTTGAACTCACTATGTACCCCAGGCTGATCCTCCTGCCTCAGCCTCCTGAGTACTGGGATTACAGGCATGTGCCAGCACATCCAGCTAAGACTCCATCCAGTTAAGACTCCTTTTTGCACTGTGTCATCTTTGAGATATTTAGATGCTAGAGATTAAAATTAGAATGGGATGTCTGCTGCATAAATTGAAGGAGAAAAATACTAGATTACTGCGATTTGGAATCATGACTTGTATGACTCACCAAGCAAGCTGTTAATTTTGAGTGTCAATGTGGGCCCTAATGTTTCTTAACCCCCTGTGAACACAGCTTGGCAGGGGATGGTCATGGTAGAAATGCTGTATGAAGGAAAGCTACAAGCTTTTCAGTGTTGGAATGGGAATTGGTACCTACAGGAAAGACACTGAAAAGGCAAAGGGAGAGACAGGATGGCTAGAGGTTAGGACAAAATCTCTCTTCCTGGAGAGAAATCTCTCCTCTGGTTTAAGAATATAAGAGGTGACAAAAGGGAGGCCTAGTAGGGGTGGCCTAGTTCTGGGAAGGGTGCTTCCTCAAAAGACAGGGACAGCAGCTGGAAGGGCAGGCTATTGCTGTTTGTGGTCTGGTGACTCCTGTAACCTGTCTTAGGCTGTAATTGCTGCTGGAAGTGGGCCCAGTGGGAACTGGGAACAGATCTGGGGCCTCTTAACTAGGCCTGCTGGAGCCCTGACTTTGTGGCTGAGGTGAAATCAACATTAAGAACAATGGAGCCAAGACATTTCTTTGAATGTTTACTGAGCAGCCCCAAAGTGACAACACTATACCCCAGTCCCAACCCTGAGCATAGAGGGCTGGAGTTTGGGATGAGTACTCACAGACCAAAGACAAAGAGCTGAGGGCCTGGTAAGTTGCCCACTCCCATCCTTGGTCTAGCTGCCTCAGAACTAAGGGAGGCCCAGAAGCAATAAGTCATCCCTGTCCAGATTAGAAGAGACCAGCTGGCTTCTGAATACCCCAGGAAGAGGTGGTGTCAGCAGTGGCATGAGGGATCCTTCTGTAACTCCACACATGGGGTCATCTGTATTGGGTTAGATGTCCATTTCAAATTGTGCATCATCTGGAGAGAGAAAAGGCAGGACTAGTTGCTGGATTGAGGGTCTGCAGGCCCAGCATCTGTGCAGAAACCCCTCTTGGAGCTGAGCTCCCACTCTACAAGGGCATTTAAACTCAATGACCCAGCATTTCTTAATATTAGTTCTTGCTTTCCTTACCGGGTATCTCGTCCTCTGTCTCCTTCTGTTCCTTCAGCAATTCCAGCTTGGAGGGTGGGGCAGTTGGAGTTGTGACCCCGGGAATCTGAGGGAGGCAGCAGGGTGGTGTCCGGGCAATGGGTGAGTTCTTGCACTCCAGCAGAAACTTTCTGTCGTAGATGATCCTGGTGCCTGTTGAGTGGTAGGGGCTGATGTAAGAGTCAATACAATACAATATACAGGTGACTAGGGTCCCAGACAGAGCCTTTCGGAGGCTGGCAGTTAGGTCCTGTGTCACACTTGCCTGTGTTTCAAAGGACATTTGCTGTGCAGCGCAGCCAGCATTTTAACGAGCATCTGACAGAATTCCAGGCCTAACCAAGGTGTCTAAGCACCAAAAAGCAGGTAAAGCATTGCAGCTAGCCCAGGCAGGGGCAGTTTCAGGTCTTGTCTCTTAGAGGAGCATTAAACTCCTTTAATGCTCTGGAGTTTCCTTGCTTTGGGTCACAAGGTGAGGCCTTGCTGTCCACCTCAGATCAGAAAGCCAAATAGTTGTGAAGCATTTTATGCAGTGCTGCTGACTAGGCTCTTATCTGCTGCAGGGAGGGGCTGTGCCCTGCTTATCCGGAGAAACACTGGGACACACTGTTCTACTCTGACCCCTCCCAAGTCCTATAAAACTCAGCCTAGCCTAAGAGGAACTTGGCCAGCATAGTGTCCTCCAAGGGCTCCTCCCCCTGCCCATGTGGCAGGAACCTGGGTCAGGAGCCCAGCAGCTCCAGATTCTAGGCTGCTGGCCCAACCAAACAGCTACCAGGCGGCCACACACACCCAAAGCTCCCTTCCCCCAAACTGCTCAAACCGCTTCAGGAGACCTAGGCTTTCACAGGGCAGTTCCGTTGGGGCCTGGGCTCCTACGAAAGACAATATAGTGAACAAGCATATGCAAGGCATCCTGAACCACTGTAAGGAATTACAGCCTAGAGTTAACCGGAAGGTTCAAGGCACTGTTGCATCACTCAGGTTTTTGGGAAAACTCAGGTTTTAGTTTAGGCTTCAGACATCCTCCCCAAAGCTACAACCTGTAGAGGGGCCTGAGGACTAGTCCAAGGCCCACAGCTCTCCACCCCCACCCAGCAACAGCAAGCACACGCACACGTTCGTTTGCCCACTCTCTGCGGACCCCGGCCCAGCACGCTGACCTCCTGGGGTTGTGGCGTACAGCGTGCCCCCCGGCGTGGTGCTGTAGCAGTCGGGCAGCCGGTCAAGGCCCCCGGGAATAGGGCAGCTCGTGGACGTGGACATTGCGAGCGACAGAAGCAGGAAGGTAATCCGCTGGTGCTGCAGACGGGACGCTGTTGTGAGTCTCAGGCGGACCCAGCGGACCACGTGCAGCAGCAGGCAACAACACCAGGACGACGTCACGCCCGGGGCGGGTCAACCGCCTTCTCAGTACGACGGTCCCGCCTACTCGCTAGCAAGTAAGCCCCTGGTCTGCGGAAAAGCAGCGACCCAGACTGTGCACCAGCCTTCATATTTCAGATTTTCCTGGGCCAACACTTGACAATCTGCCTCTGGCTGCTGCAGCAGCTTGGCTGGTTACTGTTTACACCTTGGTGCAGGGACATCCGACCATGCTGCGCTGTATTAATTCATCCGTTCCTTCAACAGTTTGGTACACTTAAGCACTATAAAAGTCACTGAACAACGAAGAGGTGAGGTAAGTCTCTGCTTCCAAGTCCCACATCTTGTAGGAGGGGGAGAAGCTGGGTTTCAGCGTTATCTGACTCCAGAGCCTGGATCCTTGAGGACAGCATATACTGCCTCCTATAAACAACAGGGACTGGGAATGTAGTTCAGTTGTAGAGCGCTTACCTAGCATGTCCCAGACCCTGTGTTCGATCCCCATCGCTCCCTAGCAATATAATAAATACAGGATGAAAGTATTTAACGACCTTGAGCACAGCGGGAACTAATTAAAGGATGATTAAAAGCTCAGAGACAGGAGAGGCTGCAGCTGAGACATAAAAGAGTGTGTGTGTGTGGGGGGGAGGGCAGCCTTGTTTTTTATTGTTTTCAGACGGTCTCACTATGTAGTTCAGGCTGGCCTTGAACTCAGCAGTCCTGCCTCAGCCTCATGAGTGCTGGGATTACAGGCCTGCTTCACCCCATGCATGGCTACAGGTCTGCCCTTTGATTTGCCATAGCTATTTAAGGTAGGGCAGGGTTGGTAAGGAGAGTTGGTCCTTTATAGAAAGGAAGGTAAAAAAGTATCACTTTTTTTTTCTTAATGTAGGCACAGTGGTATGATAGGCTAGGGAGAGTGGGAGAACTAAGTACTAACTCTAATACCTATAAGACACTGAAAATCTTAATTTCATCTAGTTGTCTTCTGTGGCTTCCTCAAAATCAGCAGACCCCCTCCTCATATCCAAATTAAATATAGACCACCTGCCTGCATGCATGTGTTTATCAATATAATAGTTCTGGCTTTATCAGATTTTCCCTTTGTTCTGATTTTCGTGATCATTTCAACAACAAAAAATATATTTTATGAATCAGTGTTTCTCAAACTTTAATGTGCATGTGAATTTCTTTGAGATCTTGTTAAAATGATAATTCTGATACAGCAGGCCTGTGGAGATTCAGGATTTTAAAATACATCCCCTGGTAATGTAGGCCCTCAGAATTACATTTCAGGTAGCAAGGATATGTATATTTATTGTTCAAAAAAAAGGTATTTAAGCCTCTTAAAAATGGTGTGTGCCTAAATGAAGTGTATTAACATTGCTGGAGGGTAAGGATTGGAAGCATATGAAGAATACTCTGACAACTCAGACTTTAAGCAAGGTAAGGAAGTAGTCTGATGAGATGGGGAGTGGGAATATGGAAAAAGTACGGTGGCTACAGGGATGGAGGTAAGTGGATGAGTCAAATACACAGAGGAGAATGACAAAGATTTATTAGGAGTGGGGTGAGGGAAATGGAGATATCCTAGGACAGTGGTGGCAATACTATGCCATACTTAGTGGTAAAGTGCTTGCCTAGTATGCTCAAGGCCCTGGGTTCACAGTACCACAAAAATTTGTTTAGAACACTAGTAGGGAAGACAAGAAGAGGGGCATATCATATTGGGCACTGAATAATGGGTGTGGAATGTCCAAATAAGTACAGTAAGCAGCTGAATACACTGGGATGAAGTTCAGGGGAAGAACTTTAGGCTAGTGCTTCAGATTTGAATGGAACAAAATCCAAGAGTATGGGATGAGATCACCTGTAGAGAAGGTACAGTGTAAGAAGAGGCCCAAGCACATCCACATTTACTGAAGGAAGAGGATTCACTTAAATAGACCCAGAAAAAGCAGTAAAAAATAGATGTAGGTGGTTTTTAAGAAGGACCCACGTGTGAGTAAGGCCTTCTTCTAAGAGTCTCTACTACAAAACAGTAGCAATTACTTCTGTTACTATTATAATGAATACTGCTTGCAGCCAACTTTTTGGAAGTAGTATATAAGGGCCAAGGAAGTAGAAAACAGCTAATTTACTTTAGAGAGACCCAGACTCATTATCCATGCAACGTGGATGGAAGAATAAGAGTTTAGATCAGAGTTAACACTAAATACCCATTAGATAAGGAAGCTTAAAAATAATACCTATGCCTAGCCTCGCTTCATCTCTATACCATGGAAATTGCTTTGGACTCACAAGCCATCAAGATAAAACAAGTGAAAAGGAGTCACAAGTTAGGTTAGGAGGAGTCAGATCATCTGATTCACTCTCTTCTTTTCCAAAATAGGCCTCAAAGCTCAGGCTTATGACCTCCGATTGGAGGTGCTCTTAGCACATTGAAGATTTTGACACTTAACGCCACCTTTTTTCTTGTTCATTTCCTACAGAAGAGAGTGAGAGTCTAGGACAGCGTTCACTGGGAAAACGTCAGACCAACTGTAGTTCTTGACAGAAGTGCTTCTCACTAGTTAGAGAACGAGATGTTCAGAAGCTGTTTTCCTCTTGTTTGCTTCTTCCTGGGTTGACAATGTGGTCCAAAGGTCTTCGACGGTGGGACAGAACCATTCTCTATTTGGCTTGAAACTATCATATGACCTATTTTTCCCTTTATACAAGATAAATCAAACTAAAGATGGTACCCTTGTGTACTAGTCTGGAGGTTAGGAGGAGGATTTGGCCAGAATCTACACAGATTGAAACTGTAGTTCCAAGTCCTGAGATTTCTTACCTCTGGTTAGGAGAGGCCACCATTGGTTGTCCAACTCTCTTCTTTGGTCTGGTTAGCTGAGGTGATGTGATTTCCCCTTTGAGAGCAGGGACTGAAGAAAGCAGACTGGCCTATAAAAGGGCAAGTCAGCACACTGTAGCCACAACAGGTTTAAAGGATCTTAAAACATCAGTAATTTTATTGGTGGTGGAATTCTATTACATTGAGGACTACCTGAAACAATGGATCCAAAAAATTTGATGATAGTTTTATTCCTTGAAAAGACTCAATCTCACGGAGTCTGACCTGTGCCTTGGCAGGGCATTTCTTAATAACTTGAGGGCTCACTGAAGATGTATAAGGTTTTCTTCTGCCTCCACTAAAATCTCAAAATCAATTCTGGTTCCCAGAATAGCAGGCTTTGGATTCCATATCGGATTCAAACCATAGCACTGTAAATAATCTTATGGTTTCTAGTACCATATCTTAAATCATCATTCATAAGAAAAAAGAAGAAAATTTGTTAGGACTAGAAGATTCTTTTAAGTGAAGCCCAGAAGGGTTAAATGACTTGCCTAAAATCACATAGCTTCAAATAAAAGAAATGAAAATAAAGTTTAGGCTTCTGACACTTGTTCCACCCATCTGCCCTCCACCACCCCTGTAATCCCTATAACCCCTGTATATTTTGATTTCTTCTTCTTTTGTTTTTGGTACCAGGGATTGAACTCTGGTCCTTGCTCTTGCAAGGCAGGCCACTGAACCGCTAAGCTAAATCCCTGGCCCTTATCCCTGTATATTTTGATTTCTTCTTCTTTTGTTTTTGGTACCAGGGATTGAACTCTGGTCCTTGCTCTTGCAAGGCAGGCCACTGAACCGCTAAGCTAAATCCCTGGCCCTTATCCCTGTATATTTTGAAAGTAATTAAGTTCTTACCTGAGCTAGGTTTTATCCAATGTTCAAGTTGGTAAAATAGCAGTAAAGTAATGCCAGGAAGAGGCAGGCAGAGGAAGAAGAGATTATAGCAGGCGAAATGGGATTGGGAGTAGGCTACCAGGATCCAAATAGAAAGAAAGGAAGGTAGTGCTCATAAGAGGGAAGGGAGGAGGGAACCCTAAAGACCTACTTCCACTGTACCACTCTTTTTTTCTGCCTAATTCTTTTAAGGGTTTCTCCCTCTTTTATCTTTGGATTCTAATCCCTGATGTGAGATAAAGTTTCTTGTTCTGCTGTCCTCTGAGTACAAAATAATAGATTTAAGGGTTCCTTCAGACAATTCAAACATATATGTATGATAGAATACTTACCCTTTTGTCCCTCTGATTTTCTTAATATTATTACTCACTACTATAAATTTCAAGGATTCTTTCATTCATTTCACTAATTTTAAGTGATTTTTCTGTGACTTGTAAGTGGAAATACAGATATGTAGGTGAACCAAAATGTCTTTATTTCCCCCACTGAGAACATTTAACATGGTTATTGACCACTACAAATTCAATACTAGTGATACTTTCTGAATCCATTAAAAATAGAAAACAAGAAATTAGTTTAATGGGCTGGGGATTTAGCTCAGTGGCGCCGCACCTGTCTCAAAAGCAGAAGGTCTCCCTGGCACACACAAAAAAAAGTTGTTTAAAGGAATCTTTATGTCTAACAGAGAACAAACATGGTATGTGTGATCTGGTGCTGGCTTTGGGACCTGGACAGAAGATTAAAAATTCTTGTTGGTATGAGAGTAGAAAAGTGCTGCTTGTACAGTATTGTCCCTAACTACTCCCCGCCCACTTTTCATCTTTCTTTGCCTTCTTTTGGCCTCAAATCTTTTCTTATTTTCTTCTTCAATACTATCTATATATAAGACCAGGAAATTCAACTATATTAAAATACAAGAGGTTGATGACTATACTTTCAGCGGGCTAGGTTTTTCTTGCTCTATTGCATCAGCTTCTTGGCATACGCTTTGTTTGGCCAACCCATTCCAGTGTTCCTGTGGTTAGCTGCTGTTAAACATACTGGCTTTTCATACTTGGGGCCATGGAACTAAGCCCAGAATTAGTCACATATTTATAAACATTACTAAGAAGATTCAACAATACAACAGAATAACAGGAGTCATGCCCTTCTTATGTCCCAATTCAAAATTTAAAATGCCTTTAACATAATAATACATTTTTTAGATATTAAAAAAAAGTCAGG